AGCTGTGACGCCACGGTATAATACCGAGGGCGATAAAGTGAGACTCTGTCTCTACAAAAAAAAAAGGGGGGGTTATTTGAAAAAGACAAATCTGTATCAGGATAGGCTGGATTATGGTTTAATAACAACCCCCAAATTAAAGTGGCTTGAAATAGCAAAGGCATGGATATTCTCACTCGTGCTATATCAAGTGGCAGCTTGGAGCCTGTGCTTATAGATCATGAACCTGCCAACAACACAGCAAAAGCACTAGTGTCACTAATAATTACATGCTCCAGGGCTGGGTGTGATGGCTCACACCTGAATTCTAGCACTCTAGGAGGCTGAGGTGAGTGGATTGCTTGAGCTTATGAGTTTGAGGCCAGCCCGAGTTTGAGCCAGAGCCAGAGTGAGACCTTGTCTCTAAATAGCTAGCTGGGACACCCATAACTCAATGGTTAGGGCTCTGGCCACATGCACGAGGGCTGGTAGGTTGGAACCCGGCCCTGGCCTGCTAAACAAACAACAACAAATAGCCTGGTGTTGTGGCAGGCACCTATAGTTCCAGTTACTAGGGAGGCTGAGGCAAGAGAATTATTTGAGCCCAAGAGTTGGAGGTTGCTATGAGTTATGACACCAGGGCACACTCACTCACAAAGGGAGACTGTCTCAATGAAAAAAAAAAAAAAGCTATGTATTGTGGTGGACCCTACTTGGGAGGCTGAGGTAAGAGAATCGCTTAAGCCCAAGAGTTTGAGGTTGCTGTGATGACATGTCACTCTACCCAGGGCAATAAAGTGAGACTGTCTCAAAAAAAAAAAAAAAAAAAGGTATGCTCCAGGCTGGATTCACACTTTTGCTTATATCATATTGGTCAGAATTAATCACATGGCTCCACTCAACCATAATGGGCTCCAATGGAGGGCGAGTGGGGATCCATAAGTACATGGGAGAATAGCATCATTGGCCATCTTAACATTTCAGATTTTTTTTTTTTAACCAAGAACACTATTTAAATAAACAATCACCCTAAGTGGGACCAAGACCTCTTTTTTTTTGGCCAGGGCTGGGTTTGAACCCGCCACCTCTGGCAGATGGGGCCAGCACCCTACTCCTTTGAGCCACAGGTGCCACCCATCTCTTTTTTTTTGAGACATAATCTTATTATGTCACCCTCAGTAGAGTGACATATTGTCACAGCTCACAGCAGCCTCAAACTCTCGGGCTCAAGCAATTCTTTTGCCTCAGCCTCCCAAGTAGCTGGGACTACAGGCACCCTCTACAATGCCTGGTTATTTTTATTGTTGTTGTTTTTGTGGCAGTTGTCGGTTAGCAGGCCCGGACTTGGTTGAAACCTACCAGCCTGTGTGTATGTGGCCAGCACTGTAACTACTGTGCCATGTTCGCCAAACCTCAAGACCTTTTCTCTTAGTATTGGTTTCCTAGTTAGCAAACAAGATCATTTTCTTCTATAAACTGCATCCACAAACCACAATGAATCATCTCTCTCTCTCTCTCTTTTTTAGAGACAGTCTCACTCTATCACCCTCAGTAGAGTGCTGTGTGGTCACAGCTCATAGCAACCTCTAGCTCTTGGGCTTAGGTGATTCTTTTGCCTCAGCCTCTGGAGTAGCTGGGAGTACAAGTGCCTGCCACAATGTCTGGCTACTTTTTTTGTTGCAGTTTGGCTGGGGTCAGGTTCAAATCTGCCACCCTCATCTCATTTTTTTTTTTTAAGTGGCTTGGTAACCTAAAGACACATAGGAAGCAGATCCAGGGTCTATGTTTCATAAGATTTTCCATTCAGTCATTTACACTTGCTTTGGATGCACCTAACTTGGCAACATTTTTTTCTTTTAACAACTCACCTTTGTTTTCCTATGTAAGCAACCTGGTTTGCACATAAACTCTCACGTTAATATTTCATTAGTTTGATAATGAATTAAAGTATTAAGAACAACGGGTATAAATGGGTTTCAGAACAAACTGATGCATCTCAGGGAGTATGCAGCCTGACATATGAGAGCAGAATTGCTTAGTCAAAATAGTAGTGGGTTAGCTGGATATGTTATAAGATGAAATGGAAAGAGTCAAGGTGGCAGACTGGGTAAACGAGATGGTTTCAGAGAGTTTTCAGCGAGTGTTACCATTAGAATATCAGCCTGTATTTTCATTTCACATTCTGACATGGGTTTCCATTTTGCTCACGCTGGAATATATCCTGGTATACTTCTCCATACAATCCTAGGTATTCATACCTACACGTGTCCTCTTTGGGTCTGAAGGATGGGAACATAATAGCTGGGAAAGAGATCATTTGGAGAGGGTGGCAGGGGCCACAATGAAGAAATCTGGATTAAATTCTAAGGACACTGGGAATCCGTTGGGTGGTTTTGATTAGTGGAGTGAGAGAGAAGGTGGCAAGAGTTAGGAGGTGTCATCCAGGCAAAATATCTTGCTGTCTTGGATCAATGAGAATGAGAAGTAGGGACTTGGGGAGATTAAGGAGGCAGTTTTCTGTGGGTCCCCCCCCTCCTTCCTGTTGTCAGCCGGAGGGTATCCTGACATGGTAACCCATGGAATGCTGGAAGTACCTGTTTATACCTAAAGATATCATAACTGTAAAGTCTGTGTCCAGGGAGCACTAACCCCCTACTGGTCATAGTCCAGGTCAGACTGGGGGCTTAAGGCTGGACTCCAGTCAGTCCTTGGGGAGGAGGCTTAGTAGAACAGGGAAATACCACCTAGCCCAGGGTTTCTCCTCCCAGGTCACTGACCACTCCTCTGACTCCTTTGCTGGTTGCTCCTTGTGGCTGTGACCACTAAAGGGACAGAATGTTTTAGCCTTCTCATGATCACTCTCATTCAGTCTCATGGACTAAAACACTGATGACTCCCACACCATCTAGGCTGGTGTGTCTACATGGTTTAGTCAACATTCTACACGGAAGTAGGGTTCCCTTCCCAACTTCCTGGTATAGTCTTGTCTATTGCAGTAAGTGGCACCTCTGGATAGGCAAAATCTTGGCATTACCTTTACCCTTCTTTCTCTCTCTGCACAAATCCTTTGGGCTCCAGCTTAAAAAATATTGTGAGGCCAGGTATGGTGGTTCATGCCTGTAATCCTAGCACTCTGGGAGGCTGAGGCAGGTGGATTGCCCAAGGTCAGTTCGATACCAGTCTGTGCAAAGTGAGATTCAGTCTCTACTAAAATTAGAGGAAAAAATGGCTCAGCGTCTGTAGCACAGTGGTTAAGTGCTGGCTACATACACAGAGGGGTGGGTTCAAACCCAGCTGGGGCCAGCTAAACAACGACAACTGCAACAAAAAATAGCCAGGCATTGTGGCTGGTGCTTGTAGTCCCAGCTACTTGGGAGCTGAGGCAAGGGAATCGCTTAAGCCCAAGAGTTTGAGGTTGCTGTGAGCTGTGAAGCCAGTGCACTCTAAGAAGGGTGACATACACTTTGTCTCAAAAAAATAGAGAAAATTAGCCAGGCGTCATGGCAGGTGCATGTAGTCCTGGCTACTTGGGAGGGTGAGGCAGGAGGATCATTTTAGCCCAAGAGTTTGCAGTTGCTGTGAGCTATGATGCTACAGCACTCTATTCAGGGTGACTGAAACTATCTCAAAAACAAACAAAAACACCTGTGAAACAGACCACTTCCACTGCATCATCCTGCCTGCAACCCATCCCATCTATGCTTATTGCCTGGATTATTGCCACAGGATTCTCTATCCTGCTTCCACTTGTCCCTGACAGTGTTATTTCCAACACAACAAAAGTTACTCTTCAGCAGGCAACAGTTGCATGTTAATTATTCCAGCTGCTTCTCTAGACTTGTAGAGATACTGTGTGCATGATTCTTGTTTACAATGTAAAGAAGACTGTCACTCCTTTGCTAAAAACCTTTTGGTGGCTCCCCAGCAAAGGAAAACTAAAATCCAAATTCCTTCCCATGGCCTACAGGACCCTGCATGTAGCACCCTGCTTCTCTCTTATTTCTTACTATTTTCTGCTGCCCTCACTCATCCTCTCGCCACTCTGGGTCACTTTTTATCTTTCCACTTTCAAGATTCGTGTTCATGCTGTTCCTTAATTTTAACACACTTCTGCAGCGTACCTAGAATTGCAGGCTGCTCAAAGGTCACTATCTTGACTTCCTGTGCTAAATATATCTTCTCATGGTCACCATCTCCTTGCCTGTGTATTGGCTTTAGCCCTTACATCCCAACCTGTGATTGTTTTCCCCAGTGGACCGTGTGCGCTGCTAAGGACCTGGTCTAATATAGTCATCGTACTCATCACCCAACACGGAACCGGACAGGTTACTAATAATAGATTTTTTAAAAAGAAAAGCTAACAATCGGACAGTTACTGTGCCAAGCACTTATCCTAACATTTTGTTAACTCATATTATCTTCAGAACCACTCTAAGGTTAAACATTATTCACACTTAAGAAACAGTGAAAGTGGTGAAAGAAATTTTACACAACTGCTAGTGACTACGCAGTCACCTTTGTTGGGCCAACTACCGGCGAGAGATTGGAGCGGTAAGCTTGGAGTAGATGGTAGGTGGGCGGAGCCAGAGAGCGGGGACCAATGCACATGCGTCTGACATGAGGGGCTGGGATCTCTCTGGACTACGGGCCCCGCCCAGCAGAGCGAGGACCGCTGGGAGCTGTGGTCCCTTACCACCTGGCCACATCACCGCCTGCAAACATTAATTCTTCTCCTTATGTGTAGTGCAATCCCTATTCCACGCCTCTGGGTAGGTTGCCAGGCCCGTTATTCCGTCCTCCTCTCTGTCCCGAGGTCTTTTGCCGTCCCGGGAGTTCTCGGTAAGGCCTCTCAGCCCCCAGGACTTAGACAACGTGGTGTCCTCTTTCGTCACCCCTGGCCCCCCACTCCCTTCCCCTTTGGTATAGTCTTTATTCCCGCCACGCCCCCATAAAGTTGTTACTCGCGCGTCCTCCCAGTTTATCCCCCCTTACGGGAGCGGCCCCTAGTATCTCCCTTAAGCACTGCTCCTCTCATGTACCCGTTCATTTCCCCAAGGCTCCCCCAGCCCGTTTTGGTACGCTCCAGCCACGCCCCCTCGCGCACGCACTTGGTACGCGCCGGGATCCCCCATTCGCCGCAGTGGTTTGGCCGCGGCGACCCCTCCTCGGCGGCGCGTCCCCCGCGTTTGGTACAGCTCGGCCGGTCTACCCTGAAGCCGCGCGCTCGCACCTCTCAGTCGGTGGAGTCTGCAGCCTTCTGTGTGGCCCGCGGCAGCCTCCAGTCCGCTCAGCCCCTGCTCGCCATGGTCCGTCCGCGCCGTGCCCCTCACCGCTCCGGCGCTGGGGGCCCCCTTGGGGGTCGCGGCCGACCCCCGCGGCCCCTAGTAGTGCGTGCGGTTCGCTCGCGCTCCTGGCCGGCCAGCCCCCGGGGCCTGCAGCCACCGCGGATCCGGGCCCGCTCGGCCCCTCCCATGGTGAGCCCCCCGCCCTTTTTCCAGAGTCTTCCACGGCCCCGCCCCCGCCGGCTCTTCCCTGGGGCTCGTGCCTTTGTCCGCGGTCCCTTTTACTTTGTTTCCCCTGTAGCCCGAAGGGTGGTCCCGCCCGGGGACGGGTTCCCCCGTGAAACCCCCGGTGGTACGCGCCCAGCTCTCCCCTTTGTTACGCGTTTGGGCAGGAGTGGGGGGGGTCACGGGGGGCGGGGCGGGCTCAAATTACTGCTGACTCTGCGTCCCGATTTAAATGCGGGGTGGGGGGCGGGCGGGCAGACGGCCGGTACGCGTGCTTGTTTTTCCAATTGGAAAGTTCGTCTCTTTCAGGGCTGGAAATCTGGAAATAGGGGTGGGGGCTGGGGGACGGCGGCGAGCAGGGGTCCTGCGTTTTGCTCTCGCGCGCCCCGATGTTGCAACTCGGGGGCGTTCTCCTGGGCCAGCACGGTGGCCGTGGCCTGCGCACCCAGAATTTGCACTGTCGCCCAGATGTGGGATGTCTTTATGGATGGCAATGAGCCCAGACCTTAAACATAAACATTCAGCTTTGCAGGTACCGTGTATTAACACACGCTTCCCCAGACCCAGAACACACAGGTACTTTTCAAAAATCTTAAAGGTTTATCTGGGGCCATAACATGGCACATACTTGCTTAAACGTGAGGTTTCCTCTGGGCTTGTGTTCAAGTTCACGTCTTAAATACACTGCCCCAACCCATTGTTCATGGCAGAGCCATGTTGGTTCTACTCAAGCTTCTAACAGGCCTTCTCTTCTGGGCGCTACCCAGAATCTGGTCAGCTCACCAAACTTAACCATGTTCCTTTCTTCTCCTGCCTTCTCTCTTTCCTGAAGCTTTTGCATCTTGTTCCACGGTGCTTCCTGGGTCCTTAAATACACATCCTAATGTATTGGACCTCAATCCAGATACCAAATGGGCCTCCCTCTGCAGTAGACAACAAATCAGGTGGCAGAAGCATAACTCAGTTTTGCACACAGTTGTCCAGGTGTGAGATTTTCTTTAGAGTTGCACTTTTAGCTGAGTCCTTAAATAGAATCCTCCCATCTTGGGTTTTAGGCAAGTATCCCTGGTCATTACATATATGGCCCCAGATCCAAACACCTTTCAAGTGTTAAGTTAATCTCTTTTTCCAGACAAGCAGACATTAAATATGTTGCTGGAACTTACATAGGGCTTTTACATGCCTTCACTTTATCTTCAGTCTATTGTCATGGCAGTAAATGCATATGTATGTGGCCATATATATGTTTTTTAAAACTACTACAGACCAAATACTCTGGGTTCAAGCATGCCATGGGTTCAAGCACGCCATAAAACTTATATATAGTTGCAAGTGCACCTCTCCAAGGCCCCATCAGCTGTGTGCTTCACTTACACTTTCTCAGTTGCTGTATGTCTCAGTGCCTGCAAACCCAGGGTTTTAATGCCCATTCTCCTCAGACATGCTCCAGCCTTAAACACATGCCAACGTCAAGATGCTCTCTGGTTTTCTTCCTGATCTTATATGATTGCCCAAGTCCCAGAATAACCTGCCCAGGTGGAGCGCATGTTTGTTCAGGTTTTAGTTCCCACAAAATAGGAATTTTCTTGGCTATCATTATTCTGGGACAAAAGACCTCCTTGTACTTATAGGGAATTTGGAAAATACCCTTTCGTAATAAGAGGAAAAGAAATGGCCGTTACAAATTTTTTCTGGTGCTTGGAAGCACCTGCTGCTGAGATTTTCCTGGATTTCCTGGTGCCAGGCTATTTCTAAAGTTTTCCCTTGTTTGCCTTCAGATGTTTTTGGTTAAAAAAATAATTGGGAGAGTGCCCTGTGAGTAGAATTTATAGGTTTGGCTTTATTGCTAGAACATTCTGGTGTTTTTGCAAATGTTTTGGTAGGAGACCACTCCAGACCCATGTTTCTCTTTTAAATGATTCCCCATCTCCCTGTTTTCTACTGGTTGGTTCTGTTCCTCTGTATGTTTTTTGTCCCTCCCTCCTTGGTGTCCACCTGATGTGTGTGAGGGCAGGCCAGTAGGCGCCTGGGAAAGTTGGCCCTGGCACTGGCATTGGCATGAACTAGAGAGAAGAGTTTGAACTTTCTCTTGAGGTTGATGAGCCTTAGGAGGGTTCTCAGCTTGGGAGAGACAGACCAGGTTGGCTTGTGCCTGTGTGGGCTGTAGGGAAGCCCTGGGCCCAACCTGGAGCACAGTCCTTGGCTGTTGGCCTGAACCTTTGTTTTTTTCTGGCCGGGGCTGGGTTTGAACCTGCCACCTCTGGCATTTGAGGCCATATGCCTGCGCCCTACTCCTTTGAGCCACAGGCACAGCCCTGGCCTAAACCTTTTGTGGGGGCGGGGATGGCATTCCAGGCTAAGAGCACTGGGGCAAGGCTCTCAGTGGGAGGGGTGGAAAATGGACATTCTGGAGTTTACTTTCAGTGTCATGTTAGCTAGTGGGCTGGGGGCAAGGCAGCAGGTAAAGGACATGAGGGGTCAGCCTCTCCTGGTCCAGACTGTTGGGTCGTGATGAAGCTTCAGAAGTTTCTACAGAGGATTTGGATCTTAATAGGATGTCTCCTCTGAAATATGTAGGCTTGACCTGTCCTTGCAGGTCCCCCAGCCTTAGTTTTCCATTTGTCCTCTAACTGTAGGAAGGTGCTCGGGTCTTCGGTGCCCTTGGTCCTATCAGCCCCTCCTCGCCTGGGCTAACCCTTGGGGGTCTGGCTGTGAGTGAGCATCGGCTTAGTAACAAGCTGCTGGCCTGGAGTGGTGTCCTTGAGTGGCAGGAGGTGAGTAAGTGGGTCTGTGTCAGATTTCCTGCAAGTCTCTATGATGGCTGGGGGCTAGCCTCCAGGGTCCCATCTGTCCCTACAGGCAGGGGGCAGGCCTGGGCATCTAGGCTGTGTGCTGTGACAGCCCTTCTGCCCCCACAGAAGCGCAGACCCTTCTCTGACTCTACCGCGAAGCTGAAGCGGACCCTGCCCTGCCAGGCATATGTGAACCAAGGCGAGAACCTGTGAGTGTCTGGAGGCTGGGCAGCCAGGTGGGCAGGGTAGCTGGGTGCCCTCACTGATCTACTCTTTACTGCAGGGAGACTGACCAGTGGCCACAGAAGCTGATCATGCAGCTGATACCGCAGCAATTGCTGGTGAGACCCCTCTCCCCTCCCCTCCTCCCCTGAGTATCCTACACCCCACCACTGACCTAGCTATTCCCTTGTTACCCACAGACTACACTGGGCCCCCTGTTCCGCAACTCCCAGCTGGCACAGTTCCACTTTACCAACAGAGACTGCGACTCACTCAAGGGGCTCTGCCGCATCATGGGCAATGGCTTTGTGAGTTGGGATGGGCAGGAGGGTGAAGTAGCACCCTGCAAGCACTCTAGTGACAAAAAAGCTCAGACCATCCCAGGCAGGGTGCCACGGTCCAGGCCATATCTCCTGGGCTCCTAGGGTAGTCATTCCCTCTTATTGGCATCTCTAGCCTTGTCTACAAGTCATGATCTCAGGAATTGTCATTAAAAGCAGAGGGTAAAGTCACCCTGGGAAGCTTCAGGCCGAGAGTTGGCCATTGAGTGTGTGAGTGAACACAGGGACCTGGGGTGCTGAGGTCTATAAGCCTACTGGAGACACTGCTTATAGCAGGGACCTGGTGAATGAGCATGGCGAGGGGAGTGAGCAAGGAGGGAATAGTTTGTGTTGGGGCTCAGTTTTCTCATCTGCAAAATGGGGCTAACAGTATGCTTTGCTGCATACGGTAACTGTGAGGCTGGAGCAAGTGCATGTGTGATGTGCTTGGAGTGGTGTGTTCTCTCTTTTTTTTTTTTTTTTTTTTTTTTGAGACAGAGCCTCAAGCTATCACCCTGGGTAGAATACCATGGCTTCACTGCTCACAGCAACCTCCAACTCCTGGGCTCAAGCAAGTCTCCTGCCTCCGCCTCCCAAGTAGCTGGGACCACAGGC